AATAAATTTTTTTTATAAATTTACATATAAAATTGAGGTACATCAAGTCATTTGACCTATAATTACAACACTCAAGTGAAAATATCCTATGCCTGTTATGATACGTATGATCATCACGATACTGAATTATGCAGCAGGTACTTATGTAAATATGTTGTACAAATTAATTGACTTACTGATAATAATATTGATATGTAAAACAATAATGATAAATACAATTGTTACCATTTTAGTCTAGTTTTCCTATTCGAGAATTGTAAAAGAATATCGATTGGTACCAATATAATGGATTTCAAAGCTTCGAAGGTTCCCACTTATCAATCTAAAGTAATAGAGCTGTCTGACGATACTGATGATGAGTTAACAGGTGTACTTGTATTTATAATTGAATTTTTTCTTGTAAATATTACATTATATATAATCAAATATATATTGTTTCAAAAAAAAAAGATCATAACAGAATCCTTTATTTCTGAAGTAACATCAGAAAAATGCAACTTTGAAAGAATTAGCGCAACAACAAATAATGAAGTGTTATTGAAGTAACATTACAAAAAGACAAATCAGATAGAATTGACATAACAACAAGTAATAGTAGAAGTGTTCAAAGGCAATTGTGCACTTTATCATATGAATCAAATACTACAAATAACTCTGGTAGTGTTTTTAATATCTCTTCAAGTTCTAAATCATTATCTGTTAAGGTAGTTAATTCTTTTTATATAACGATAAAATATTCTATTATTTTTACTTAATATTTAATATACTATCAAGTTTTTTTAAATGTATAGTTAATAAAAGACTTTTCTAAATACATAACTTTATTTAATTATTACTCAGATTATACTTATGAATTTTTATTTTTCTAAATACAAAATTTTATGATTATCTCTTAACTATACATTTAATAAAATCTGATTGTATTAAATTATATAATTAAAAATATTATTCAACTAGTAACTAATTTACAATTTTAATATTTTATATATTTAATACTTAAATAGAATTCAAATAATATTGAATCTTATAATAACTTCGATGATATGAACAGTATAACAAGTGATAGTTTAGAAAATGAGATTGATATACTTAATAATAGTTTAAAAAACAATATAATTAATAATAGCTTTGAAACTAATAATAATAATGAAAGTAATATATTTACATCTGATTTGGTAAGTTTAATTAAAATTAATGGTTTATCTATAGAATAACATGTACTAATACACTTGATAGTCACATCGATTATCACATTACACAAATATAATAAATGATCGTCAATGTATTTTATTTACATTAATGTTATATGATGGATTTGTGCATCAAATTTAAGAATACAATTACAAAGAAAAGATAAATGTCTGTTGGTTCTTTGTAGTTATAAGAATTACCAAAAGGAAAATGGATAAAAAAATAATAAGAATTACATAGTAAGACAGTCTTAATCATTTATTCGATATTACTAATTCATCTATGTTTAGAAAATCGTAAAACTAATTCTCATGTTCAATTCGGAAAATAAATACTCAAAATTTGTTATTGTAACAAACATGTTGACTAAAAAAAGTTATTAAAATAAGAATCAAATTTCTGAATGAGTTCAACAACTTTCACCTAAAGAAAACGAAGAAAAAAATGTATTTTGAAACTGATACAAATTATTATTATTCTACTAAATTTAATAAATCAAATAAATGTATTAATATTGATGATGGAACATTTAGTTATTCTTATGTTCTTCTACCAAATGGTCAATATTCTTTTATAAATACCAAAGCTTCTGTAACTAATGAAATGAATTTCGATGCATTTATTAATAATGATCATTTTGTTGAAAGAAAAATTTCAAAGAATGTAACTGTTAATGAAATGACTTATGTCAAAGAGAAAATGAATGATTTAAATAAAAGTAATGTTAAAAAAGAAATTACTAATGAATCTTCTAATGAAAGAATGAATGAACACACTGAAGTATCAAAGAATAAAAATGTAAATAATGAAAATGAAATTAAAAAACTCAAAATAAAACTTAATGAATGTTATAAAATAATTGATGAAAAGAATGATAATGTAAAAGACCTTAAAGATGAAATTAGTCGAAGAAATAATGAAATTCGAAAATGGAAGAATGAAATATATCAG